TTAGGGCAGTGTGAGGTGTGGTGGTAATCGACAGACTGACTTAGAGTAGTGTGAGGTGTGGTGGTAATTTTAAGGAATAAAGAATTATGGTAATTAATGAAAAAGTCTGATTAGTGGATATATTAGAAAAGTTTTTGAAGGGTCAATTTTGCGTAGACATGTAGGCCAGAATGTGTCTTAATTAAATGGTAGAGTTATTATGATAATGTTAGAAACGACTTTACTCCAATGATTAAATAGTGTATTATTAAATATGTGTTAGTTGTGTTAAAGCAAGGGGAGTAAGGGCTGGGTGGGTTGGTTGTAACAAGCAACTGGTTGTAACAGTTGTAACTGTTGTAACATATCACCTCACCCAAATGCAGGTATAAAATCGAAGCTGTTTGAACTCTGTTCAGTTATAGTTGGGTGTGTGTGTAAACTAAAGTCTTTGAAAATGTAATAAGTTTTACGAAACGCGTTCAAGTGTCGCGTCAGACTAGAAATAAAAATGAATTTTGGAGAATTGATTTTTCAGTTACCATCAACAGTGAAAAGAAATATAAGAAACAGAGAAAATTCCTGTTAGAATTATTAATCTTACTTTTTCGGTCATATTTAATAATATATGTCTACAGGAAAGACTGCTACCAAAATATACTAATATATATATATATGTATATATATATATATATATATATATATATATATATATATATATATATATATATATATATATATATATATATATATATATATATATATATATATATATATATATATATATATATATATATATATATATATATATATACATATATATACATATATATATATATTAGTATATTTTGGTAGCAGTCTTTCCTGTAGACATATATTATTAAATATGACCGAAAAAGTAAGATTAATAATTCTAACACGAATTTTCTCAATCTTTCGTACATTACGCTTCACTGTTGGAGGTAAATCAAAAATCAATTCTCCAAAATTCATTTTTATTTCTAGTCTGACGCGACACGGGCGCGTTTCGTAAAACTTATTACATTTTCAAAGACTTTAGTTCACATTTTGTTCTGTCTTGTGTTAATGCCACATCACCCCTTCCACCTCACTCAAATGTAGATATAAAATCGGAGATACGTAAGTTCTATTCAGTTGTGTATTTGTGAACTAAAGTCTTTGAAAATGTAATAAGTTTTACGAAACGTGCCCGTGTCGCGTCAGACTAGAAATAAAAATGAATTTTGGAGAATTGATTTTTGATTTACCTCCAACAGTGAAGCGTAATGTACGAAAGATTGAGAAAATTCGTGTTAGAATTATTAATCTTACTTTTTCGGTCATATTTAATAATATATATATATATATATATTTATATATATATATATATATATATATATATATATATATATATATATATATATATATATATATACATATACACGTGTGGATGTGTTTACTCGTTGATTGACACTGTATCCCAGGTCACCAGTTGATTGACAGTTGAGAGGCGGGAGCAAAGAGCTAAAGCTCAACCCCCGGCAAAAACAACTGAGTACACATACATTTATGTCTCCTACTTTGATATGGTAAGATAGCTGCCATAGAAACTAGTGTGTCATTAAGCAATTAACCACTCAAGGTGATTAAGATGCTTTTACAAGCTCAGGTCATAGTTGCATCACAAACATTGTATAACTGATGTGTTATATAGTCAATATTAGCTACAAGTCATACATATAATCAAGTGTTCCAGTATTCGTTTAAAGTGTATTGGAAGAAGCCCTTGGAGACTGAACTTTTCACAGTTGGTGGTCTGAATTTTACCTTGACTATTACTCTTGGTTCTGTTGGAAAATTGTAGATCCATTTTCCTGTTTTTCTGGCAATTCCTTTTGAACCCATTTTGTGTGCAATAACACCATGGCCACTTGTGTCGAAGGTTTTTTGTGAAATCTATATATATTACATCAGCGTTTTGCTCGTCATCTATGGCATCTAAGGCCCTGTCATAGTGACCCAGCTATTGTGACAGGCAGGAGTGCTCTGTTCTGAACCGATGATTCTAAGGGTAATGGAGATTCTGGGATTCCATATGTTTTGTGATCTAACTTCTTAGCACTCTTTCAAATATTTTTATATGTAATGTTAATTCTTTAGCCTAGTTTTTTTGCCTCTGCCTTATTCCCTCCTGTTAAGGTATCGACACCGACCCTGGAGTGTGGAGTGGCGATTTCTGCGCCATCTATGGATCTGCACTCCAACTCCCCGGTATTAAATGCAATGCAGACAACGCCATCTGTTGAGAGTGGCGTGGCATCAGTGAAAGGCTTCAGTTTCCAGCCTCAGTTAGGTGAGGTATACGAGGATGACCTCTGGTGGGTGGCGTTTCGAGATCAACGCCATCTAGGTGGCGACTACAATTACAATTTCAGTTCCCCGGTGGATGGGTGTTATCGTAAGGTCACCCAGTATACTGTCTGTCTAGCTAATGATGTGTTAAGTTCACAAGGGTGACGTAAGGAGGCGATTGGGCTGAGGAGGGCAGTTCACCTTGGGCAGTTCAAGAACTCTTGATTTGGTCTTGTGAGAGGACAAAGTGGCCTCCGTTGGTTATAGCAGTGTGTTGCCTGCTGATTTATGCAGTGTGGTATGGGCCGACGTACCCAGGATTGGCCAGGAAGAGTTACAAGACGACAGTGGTGCGTCTGTTTAGAAGTGATCCTAGTGAGCAACTTGACTTCTGCCAGGGTGCTAGCTACCCCTGTATGTGATTGTTTGAGACCCCTGTCAGCCTGTGACTGAAACCATCTGGTGTATTGGCACATCCTGACGGTACGGTGTGTGTGGACTGGCCCATGTTGAGGAAGGTCAACTCGCCGGTGTTTGCCATTAAGTGTGGACGACGTGCACCTGGAAAGTGGATTCACCGGGATTTGATGGACACTGACGATGTATTGTCCTGAGTAAATGCGATACTTTGTTAATATGTGTAGTAATACTCTGATATAATATATAGATAGTGGTGAAGGTGTTAAAATACTGGTGAAGGTGTAATTGTGTATTGTTTATCCCCCTTTTATTCTTTTGTGGTGGTGCTAACTCTGCTGTTTTAGTATGCCGGGGATAACAAAAGTATCTACACACAGTCTCCAATTTTTTTTTTTTTTTTTTAAAGGTCCGAGATAGTGTGTGTGTGTGTTTTATTTTTAACCATTATCGACTAATATGGAGATCCAGTAATCCAGGATTGTTGCAAAGGCATTCTGTTTGTGGCTACTTAAAAATCCAGTTGGGTTAAGGTGACATCTGATATGATTTGATGTTGTATTACAATCATAAAGAATTCGTTTCGGTTATCAACCTTCATGTGTTTTTTCAGTGAGCAACTAGTCATACTGTTGCCTCGGTATTTCGCTCATTTCTTTGTTGTCATCTGTGGAAGTTCCACCTCCCTTGCTCAGGAGCCCAATACTAGGTGCAGTTTTCGTTCTAGATTTTGCATAGGAGAAAAAATATTATGGATTCCTCTTTTTCACTGATGATCTTTTGCTCCCTTTTTCTATCTTGGAATTTTATTCTTTGTAGCTTTAGTTCAATTCTATTTCTATTCTCAACCTAGCCTTTGTCGTTCTTGAGATAAGGTGCGACTTTCAAGACGTTCCACGATTCCTTTTCTTCGTCTATAGAGGGAACGCCATTCGGGATCCTATCTGCATCTCCTTTTTTTTTTCCTCTTAGAGGTGTGCGGCTCTAGCTTATTGCTAGTGTTGCTGAGCTTATTTTTGTCCAGGCACTAGTGTAAGCTTCCACTTTCTAGCTGTTCTTTCCCAGCTTATTTCTGTAAGGACTTGGTTTATTAATTCCCAGTTAATATTAATTATTAAATTGAATTTGCTGAATTATCTTCCTCAAAAATTTGGGTCTGGCTGCGCAGATCTATTGCCCAAGCTTGTCATGCCATCAGTTTGTGATCTGAGTAGCAGGTATTTGAAATTACGTTCCTGATCAATTCATATTCATGAAAATAAGGTCTAATGTGTTTTATGTTTGGTTCTACTATTTGCTGGTTTAGTGCAAATCTGTCGCACACATCCGTAGTAGGTCATTTATTTGCGATTGTTTGTTTAGGCTAGTTCCTGGGACTCTCTCGGATATAACTTTATTAGCTAAGGTCTAACATTTAAAGTGCCGTAATGTTTGATTTTCATTACTGTGTCTTTAAACGGCTGAGGATTTGTCTCTGACTTATATACAAGGGCAATAACCGCATTTAGTATCCCTATTGTCATTATCGGCACTTCCACTATATCGTATGTGTTGGTCAGCATGTAACAAGCCAGGTTTGTTGTAGGAATTATTCAGTATGTTTTTTCATAGACTATAGAGGCTTGGAAAGTTTGGAGTCAAGCGGTAGTTGACCTGACTCTGGGAGCACGAGGTCATCTCTCCGGGGATTAGCGGTTAAGATTACAAAATGGCCGGTGCCTTGTCTTGAAGCAACATATAATGAATTATTTTACAGAATTCAGTAATTTGGAGAAATTAAAGTCTTCATTTCAAATAGTATTCAATATTTCCAGTATTCAATAGTATTCCTGTTCAAGCACCAGGAGTATTCTCAATTGCCGAAATAATGAGTAAATCACCGTCAGTGGCGTCACTAGCAAAGGACCTCTGACGCGGAGCAATTTTGGCGACCCCGGGTCACGGGTCACCAAAGCCTTCTACATTTAGTAATTCTCAAAGGTCAAATAGCCATATTGGCTTTTCCCTAAGATGCCTGTGCAATTTCCATCAGTTTAAAGAGTTCAACCATCTGGGTTGTTCAGTACAACAGAGATTAGTTGTTCACCTTAAACCCTGCTAGTAAACTTAGTAAACCTGGCGTAGGATTACCCCTCTGACTTCAGTGAGGAAGGCAGAGCGAAGTAGAATTAGTGTGGGCCGGTCTTAGGTCGGTTGTGTGGGAGACCTATGTGTAGAACGTCATACTGATAACAGTATTTCTTCCCTTGCAGCAACCCGCCCGTTACCGGTCCTTCAGCACCCCCGTCAACCCGCCCGTCACCGGCCCTTCAGCACCCTCCCCCCTCCCTGTCAACCCACCCGTCACTGGCCCTTCAGCACCCCCCCCCCCCCCCCTCCCTGTCAACCCTCCCGTCACCGGCCCTGCAGCGCCCTCCGTCAACACAGAAAACATAAGGTCCGTTTTTATTTGTTTTATGTCTTAGCATTAGTTAACTCTATATATCCAGTGTTTGTTTTTAACCCTATTGCCCAGCTTGGGGCCACTGGCGCTTGAAGCGTCTCTCTCTCTCTCTCTCTCTCTCTCTCTCTCTCTCTCTCTCTCATATCCCCCGCAAGCACAAGTAGGTGAGTAAACACACACACACACACACACACACACACACACACACACACACAGGGGTCTGGTAGCTGAGTGGACCGCGTGCGGGTCTTGTAATCCTGTGGCCCGGGTTCGATTCCTGGCGGCTGCAGAGACAAATGGGCAGAGTTTCTTTCACCCTGATGCCACTGCTACCTAGCAGTAAATAGGTGCCTGGGAGTTAGACACCTGCTACGGGCTGCTTTCTAGGAGTGTGCAATATTTATATATATATATATATATATATATATATATATATATATATATATATATATATATATATATATATATATATATATATAGGCAATATTTCTTATACTCGCTGGGAGGATGTTGAACAACCGCGGACCTCTGATGTTTATACAGTGTTCTCTGATTGTGCCTATGGCACCTCTGCTCTTAACTGGTTCTATTCTGCATTTTCTTCCATATTGTTCACTCCAGTATGTTAATTTACTGTGCAGATTTGGGATCTGGCCCTCCAGTATTTTCCACGTGTATATTATTTTGTAACACGGGGGGGGGGGGGGGGTTATCGACTCTCTCTCCGTTCTTTTACCCCTTACCTCTACCCATATTCTGATTTATTTCTCTTCAATCCAAGGGACCCCAGAGCTACTCTAAGCCGAATCCCACGCCACGTGGTCTTAAGCCGTTTGACCGGCTAAGATTCTACAGCCTTTACGACATGGAACTAGACCCGTAGCAAACTTAAGTTGCATTCACTGGAAAGGCGAAGAGTTAGGGGTGACATGATAGAGGTTTACAAGTGGATGAATGGACATAACCGGGGGGATATTAATAGGGTATTAAAAGTATCAACACAGGACAGAACACGAAACAATGGATATAAATTGGATAAGTTTAGATTTAGGAAAGACTTGGGTAAATACTGGTTCGGTAACAGGGTTGTTGATTTGTGGAACCAATTGCCGCGTAACATTGTGGAGGTGGGGTCCCTCGATTGTTTCAAGCACGGGTTGGACAAGTATATGAGTGGGATTGGGTGGTTATAGAATAGGAGCTGCCTCGTATGGGCCAATAGGCCTTCTGCAGTTACCTTTGTTCTTATGTTCTTATGTTCTTAAACTCTAGAATCTCCTGACGCCGCCACCACCAGACCACTAACACTGGGAGCAATAACCGAGGTCTGGACCGATTATGCTCTCAATAAACCTTGGGGCTTGATCCCAAGTTATTTGGAATAAGAGGGAAGAATCTACGTTAAGTGTGGGTAATAATACCAAACAAGGGGATAACCGACTCTTAATCTTTGTTCGGTTTTGCGACCACCCAAAACTCAGCCTCGTGGGGACCACGTGTCAAGGACAAGGAACAATATGAAAACATAAAAATGGAAATAATAAAAATGCAAATTACTAACTAAATAATTAATTCAAAATCTAAAACAAAATCTAAATCAAAGCACTCCCTATCATTAACACTCCCTGACTTAAGGCATGAGATAAACTAATTTACTATAGCAACTATACCTCTTTATGCGACCAGCTGATGCAATCCCCCACCTCTCCCCCACCATCTTGGGGAGAGGTGGAGATGGGGGCACCTCTCCCAGTTGATGACCGGTCTACACTGATTCTCCTCCCTCTGCTCAACACAGAAGCCCGAGGGGGTATTCCTACGCATGGCTTACTAAGTTACTAGCAGGGTTTAAGTTGAACAACTAATCTGTTGTACTAAACAACCCAGATGGTTGAACTCTTTTTTTTAAACTGATGGAAATTGCACAGGCATCTTAGGGAAGAGCTATTTCCGATTACAAAATGGCTATTTGACCTTTGAGAATTACTAAATGTGGAAAAAACTGATGACCCGTGACCGCCAGGCCGTCAAGGTCACTCCGCGCCAAGGACTAGTCCCGGCTCGTGACGTCACTGATGGTGACTTACTAAAGTATTCTGACAATTTAGGATACTCTTGATGCGTTAAACAGGAACACTATTGAATATGTATGAATACAATATGAAAGAAGACTAATTTCTCTAAATTACTGAATTCTGTAAAATAATTCATTATACGTTGCTATAAGACAAAGGTGGCGGCCATTTTGTATCTCACCCGCTAATCCTCAGTAGATATGACCTTGTGCTTGGGTCAGGTCAAACTACAACTTGACTAACTTTTGTACAAAGGCGTATGCCACTGCCTCCCATACAATTATTCATTTTAAAACGGCTTCAGTTGTTACAATTTGATATCTTTCTCGTCTTCTTTCTAGTGAATACATTTGGAGAGCTTTGAGACGATCCCAATAATTTAGGTGCTTTATCGCATCTATATGTATGTCGTATAAGTACTTTGTATTCCCTCTTTGCTCCATCCCTTGTATAGAGGGGCTATGTCTGCTGATTTAAGCGCATCTGGTATCTTCCCCCTTGGTCAAGCTCTTCCTCCTCACTATACTAAGGGCCTGGGGCCAGATTCACGAAAGCACTTACGCAAGTACTTACGAACGTGTACATCTTTCCTCAATCTTTGACGACTTTGGTTACATTTATTAAACAGTTTACAAGCATGAAAACTTCCCATTCAACTGTTGTTATTGTTATAAACAGCCTCCTGGTGCTTCGGAGCTCATTAACAGTTTAATAATTGTAAACAAAGCTGCCAAAGATTGAGATAAGATGTACAGGTTCGTAAGTGTTTGCGTAAGTGCTTTCGTGAATCTGGCCCCAGTTCTACTGGCACTTTGCATTTCTTTATAAATATTGAATTCCATGAGTCTGGACCCGGGGCTGAGTGCATGGGCATGTTGTGAATTTTTCTTTCAAAATCTGCCACGCTCGTGTTGATATCAATTATATTTACAGGTGTTTGGGTATCACACATAAAGAAGTTGTCCGGATCTTCCACTGTCATGCTGTTTATTGGAGTGCAAAACATGTTATGCTTTTTAAAGGATTTCGCTAATTTCTTTGTAATCCTTCGTGTATGAATCTTCACTTGTACGAATAGGTCTAACACTGGCAGGGATTTTTTATTTTGATTTCGCATATGTGAAGAAATATTTTGGGTTTATCTTTATTTCTTGAATTACTTTTCGTTCTAGTTGGCTTTCTTCAATTTGATATGAATGCTTCACTCAGTTCGATTTCTTCACTCTCCCTGTTTAAGTTATTCTGTGTAAGGAAAGTCGTGTCTGCTTAAGCATTTACGTTATTTTTGTTTCCTTATTTCGTTATTTCTTTCCTTCATTTCCTTGGTGAGAATTCGCCACCCGGTTGGAAGAAGGGAGCGAATACCCTCCGTTGTGGACCACTGTTGCCTGCCTCCTTCCGTTGTGGACCACTGTTGCCTGCCTCCTTCCGTTGTGGACCACTGTTGCCTGCCTCCCTCTGTTGTGGAGATCCGTGTTGTGGTAGCCACCTGTCCACACCAGCTGGCATGCTACCATGTTACAGTGAAACAGTTTGGTTGTAGCCAGCAGCAAACCTATATTGACACGTCGTCTACTTCTGGCCCTCGACAACACTGTATCTGGGGGAAGAAATCAGTTTACTGTTCGAAAGTTGATGTAGGGGCGGAACTGATGTCTATTGGTTGGAGAAAGAGCGCTGGAGCTGAGGTGAACTCTGTGGTCTGTAACATTCAGACGAAGTTTACCTGCACTGTAGATCATGAAGCATGAGGTCAAAGGCCAGCGAGCGCCACGCCAACACAACCTCTTCAATACAAAGCAGGAAAGCGTGCGATCTGATCCCCTTCAACAACGGTAGCTGCCTGCATCCCGACACACACACACAGGTGGTCAAGGGTGTTCCCAGCACGACATACAGGTAGTTGAAAGTGCTCCCTGCACCACACACCGACGCTTCCATATATGGAAGCAGAAATAAGGCACACCAATAAACAGCATGAAAGTGAAAGATCCGGAAAACTTCTTTATGCGTTATATCCAAACCCCTGTAAACATAACTGATATCAACACGAGCATGGCAGATTTTGAAAGAAATTCACACATGCCCATGCACTCAACCCCGGGCCCAGACTCATGGAATTCAATATTGATAATGAGTGATCAGGGGTCGGATCACCAATTTCATGGACAATATGCCCATGCACTTCGCAACCCTGGCCAACATGGATTTAGAGCGGGAAGATCATGCCTCTCCCAGTGAGAGGCATGATCTCCCAGCTAATTGACCATTATGACAAAATCACTGAGGCATTGGAAGAAAAACAGAATGCAGATATGTGGTATTCACGGACTTCGCAAAGACATTCGATAAATGTGACCATGGAGTGATAGCACACAAAGTTAGGTCAATGGGAATAACTGGTAAAGTAGGACGAGGGATACTCAATTTTCTGTCGAACAGAACACAGAGTAACACTCAACCATATAAAATCGATTTCAAGCGCAGTTAAAAGCTCTGTATCTCAGGGTACAGTCCAAATAAAATATAGACAAAAATAAGTCACAGCTTCCTATCATCTTTTGCAGATGACACAAAAATCAGCATGAAAATTACCCCTGCTGAAGACACTATTGATATCTGCTTGTAGTTTGTCAAAGTTTTCAGCTGGGTTGAAGAATATAACTTGATATTTAAGTGATAAATTCCAGGTACTCAGGTACGGTAAAAATGAGAACCTTAAACATAATACAGGGTAAAAAGCACAATCAGATTTGCCCATAGTAGGAAAACGGCAAGTAAAGGATTTGGGAATAATAATGTCTGACACCCTAACGTTTAACGAGCATAACCACGAAAATATTGTCAGCCAGAAATTTGATTGAATGCCTTACGAGAACTTTCAAATCGAGGGATTCCATCTCAATTGTTATACTATTC